ATAAACACAATATTCTTTCTGCTTGAAAATCAATACTGCTCTTTGTTCCAGAACGAAAGTAGTAACGTTACTCCAAATGCTATTAATGTACCAGTACGTCTCCTCCCCTCCTGGCACATCCGTCAAATACTGAAACTAGATACGCCCTATGACACATAATTACAGTCTATAAGAGCATTCTGAATCATCATCATCGTCCGTATCCCCTTATGCTTCCACATTATATACTTTATCATCATTCTACTTCTTAAACCATACTTTCTATTGAAGTGGCATTATTTTTACTTTAAATACTGATCCATTGTTTATTTAGTCTCTAGTTTTGTATTAATAAAGATTAAGCATCAAAATTAATCTTGAGTTTCTTCTATTAATTGAACATTTAATTAATCTCTACTTAATGTAGCGTAAAGATTAGTTCAATGCCATCTTGAATTTTTTCTATTCGATTCAATACACATCTACTGAAGATAGGTTCAAGATCCATACGATCCAAACCATTTATATTATCTTTTTTTCGCTTTTAGCACTTACTGTGTGCTTAAATTATGCGGTATTTTAATGACAATCGTAATAAAATAAAATTATTTTTTATTAAAATCTTGCTGGGTATTAAAATTACAGTCGACCACCTATAACACTGTTAATTATTCCGTTTTATATGAATTCCATGTTGTACACACGTATTTGTAAAATCTAAGTGACTCGTACAACATGGAATTCATATAAAATGGAATAATCAACAGTGTTATAGGGGGGTCGACTTGTATTTTATTAATCTTCAATTCTGGAACGTATTCAAAATTCTTCGATCATCCCATCCGTCACGAATGCAATTATGTTGACGGTAATAAAGAGATTAAATCATCACAACTCTCTTGAACATAGAAAAAAAAATTATTATTAGAATTTCTAATGCATTAAATACACATATAAAAACAATATTACTTTATTTTCATCACTTAAAAAAAACCTTTATTAAGTTTCACATACTTTTCACGAAATATTAAAGAAAATTTCGTGAGGAATTTGAATTATCACCACGATTTATTATATAATTAATTATAATTACCCTGTTTATATATTCTTACCACGTTTTATAATAATAATTATTATTAAAAAAAAACAGTAAGCGAGTCCTCGATATTCATTAAATATATTTATTGTTAAAAAGCACGTGTATTTCGTACACGGGAAAATACATCACCCTTATTAAGATTTATTGTGTTAAGTATCAAGGTAGCACGATAAAAAAAAAACATATATATGCCCAGTGTGCTGTGTAATAAATAAATAAATAACAAAAGATATATCGCAGCCGGTCGTTAGACTAAGCACTAGTGTACTCGCTTTACAACTACAACCCCCGTGGCCTCATTTATCCGAGGGGGTACATTCTTTCGTGTAGTTGTACAGCAGCTGCAGAGAATCTGTTCCCAGTTTCTCATTCGTACAGAACAGACGTTCCTTTTTGTTCATCGAATTGTTGTGCGTGTTTAAAATATTTACACACACGAATTTTAAGAATTTAATATGTAAAAAAAAAGCTTTAGTTTATTTAATTTTAGTTGTTAAAAATATATATGTTTAGATAGAGCTTAAGATAGAGGAGGAAAGAAAAAATAAAAATCTTAAGTAAACATTGCTCACTAAAGTTGGCAAAATTTCCTTTGGCAAACAGTTCGATTGCTTAAAGCGTGCAGTAGTAGTAGTGATTAATGTCATTACGGATTTAAAATTACAACACTCCCTTCGAAATTTAATTTAGTTCTTTTACGAAGGGAATTAAATTTAAATTCTAATCTTAAAAAAAAAATGGAAACGGAAGAGATTTATCCGCTTGAAAGTACAAAAATAACATCCTGTTCTTGCTTCCCCCATTTTTTTCTCTCTCCCTCTCTCTAAACAACGTTAAAATATCCTCTTACGTGTAAGAGGCCCAAACGCCCTTTTATTTACTTCGAATTTCGACCAATCAGAAACGCAGAAATTTGCCACATCATCAATCACTACGTATTTCACAACCTACGTGTTATCGCCCCCCACATTCTCGTGTATATAAATAATCAAAATTTAAACACGTACGAGTAATAATCTACGACCAATCAGAGCGCTTTTTTTAAAAAAAAAACAAGATAACGAAAAAGAAAAGTAGTATATTACTCCTTCTCTACCGTCCAATCTTTTTCAAATTACGTTAGAAACAGGAACGACAATTTCCTGTTCACTAACACAGGAAGCCGTAACCATGGAGACTGGTATTACGTCACGCAGATAGACACGGTTGCTTGTTGTCTGCATTTTTTTTTCTTTCCTTCGCGTGTGTTTGTATGTGTATGTGCGCTTGTGTGTGTGTGTGTGGAGGGGGGTCTGTATGTCGAGTGTGTGCGCTTGGGCTATGTGCGAGCGTATTAGTTTTTTGTATGCCCTTTATCTGTTTACGTATCGATTAAAACACAAAACGTCTATTTACGAAACACTAAAATTTGTATACGTAACTAAAACACGGGCAAAAACACACCAGTTATTTTAATTACACGAAACGATTTATTGCCCTTTATACTATTTAAATTTCGTGAATTCTCTCTCTTTCTCTTATGCTGTAAGTGATTACCAATTTGATAAAGACCATTAACAGCACAATGTAAACTCACAGATGGTCTACTACACCCTTACACGTCGCAGCCCCACAAATCACATGAGCTAGCAATCCGCTTATTGGTTGTGGCGTACCCGTAGCAACAGCAGCATGAAGACGTTTGTCTGGTCCGTGAAGTCAGTTTTGCGAACCCCGTACGCCATTTGTCCTTACTTTAAGAGACGAGTTTCAAAATAAAAATGTTGATGATGAAATATCCTTTGGCAATTTTGCAAAATGTAACGAATCGTAAAACACGTAGGATCGTTACAACAAAGAAAAGATTGACTGTAACGAAATAAGTCTAATTTCCCTCCCTCTCGAAAACGTCACAGGGGTTTAATTATATATTTATTGTTTCTATTATTAATTTTGCTTTGCAGCAAACATGTTTGCTCTTTCGTGTCGTAAACAGAAACGATTCCGATACACGGAACGGGTCATCGAGATGTTTATGTACTGTACAATAACACATTTATTACCCCTTTCTCTACTGCTCTGTTGATAATTTAAGTAAACACATTCTGGTAATGGATCATTTTTCAATTTTTTATTATGTTTTTTTTACTTATCTCGATATATTCTTTATTGCTACGTACAAGTATTTTTTTTTCTTTCTTCTATTCTGTGATAAGGAATACGTTTAGTCTCCCGATAAGCTTATCTTAGAATTACTACTCTTCGTAGCCGATAGGCTATAAAATCTCTTATATATATGGATCGTTTCTGCTCGAATTAATCAAAATCGTTGAAGATCATCCGAGCGCATGCTGTAATTTTCTACTTTAGAAGAATGGTGAGAACTTTGATGATTTCTTCTGGATGATCTTCCTGAAATTCCTCATCGAAAATTTATCACTTTCTCTTCTTAATTTACGTTCCTATCCTCTTAGAAATTACTCCAGTTGAGCTTAAATCTCTTCAATAATCCCATTTTTTTTTTCTTTTTTCGAAATTAATATATCAATCTTCTATGACTTTTGAGGAATTTAATAACGGATATATTGCTTTACCATAAAGTGGAGTTTCTAAATTTTTGCCAATTCTGGAATACCACTGTTTAATAAACTGCATATCTCTTGGTGTTTTATTAAATGGAAATAGTTTTCAAGATGCCAAAGAAACCGATACAGTTTTTTTTTTAATATTTCTTTTTTACCATTCTTTAAGGCACCGTCTTCAATATCGGGAATTTAAGGGTTGAGAAAGAAGAAGGAAGGAAGGAAGAAAGAAAATCTCTTTAAAGTTTTCCATCCATTTTTAGTCCAGAAAATTCAGGAACCGACTTCGATCGATCAGAAATTCCATTACGTGTTTTGCCTGGAATGGTAACAGTCCTGACAGAATATTGATGTGTGCAAAGAGGATCATTTTTCATGCTTGTTTTCATTTTGCTGCACACAATTTTTTTTTGTTTTTGTAGGTTTATTTGCCAAAAAAAAAACAAGAAGAAAAAATTCAAACCAATTCTTGTCGTACAACATCTTCTTCTTCGCCAAGAAGTAAATACATTGTTACTCCTTCCATAATGTAATGTATACATAAAGGAGAGAGGGGTCGTTAAGGCGTACTTTATCCTCAAATCTCTTTGCAAACGAGGACAGTAAGCACTAAAATCCCATTTGATCTATGCAGCTCATTAGCTTTAACTTAAAAGTCATCGTGCTGAAGCTCTTATTTTTAAGTTTCTGTTCTTTCTCCTCTTCACTTAAGGGGTAGAGGGGGAGGAGGGTTCGTTATTTATACTGTTGCCCGGCTCCTTAACTCAATAAATGCCTTCAAAATGAGATCTTTTCGAATATTTATAATGAACTATGTGAGACGATCGATAGAATTCTATTTAGAAGAGGCTGACTTAATGCTGTTAATATTATTATTAATGGCTTTTAGTAAAATTTCCCTCCTGTACGAGCGTACACAGATTTAATTAATTACAATCATTTTATACTTTTTACATACATTTAACACTAAAGTTTAACTTAAAATAATTAATTAATTAATTAAATTCTTTCTTATTATAAAGAAATTGGGTAGATAGAAGTCATCTTTGGGTGATTTATTTTAAACAAATTATTAATAAAACGACCTACCTAATTGGGTAATTTGAATTAATTACCGTTATATTTAACTCCGTTAATTATAGTAATGATGTCGAGGGCTTAAAACCTTAAAATACTGATTTAGAATTGAGAGATTAATTATAAAAATCTTAATTTTTAACACCAATATATGCATATAAACATGAAAGGATACACATGCAACACGAACAGTTGTCAAAAGAGAAAGTAACTAAAAGTAAAACTGCCCACGTGGTCAAGTTATTTTAAGTAGTAGTAGTAGTATAATGAATGAAAACTCTTACCATTGATTATAACATGATCTCTCCCCCTTATGGAGGAGAGTGAATCTTCCGATACGATTATAGAATTATAACATATACATATATGTATATAATATAGCAACGGTTGGGGTGAGCGAAGCACTAGAACCGTAGACGAGGATAGTAAACAGCGGTTATCTGAACACACACGCAGCTCTACACGTTACTGCTATAGGAGTGGCTTCTCGTCTTACGTCATCTCGGCGCTCCCCTTTCGTTGGTCGGAGGGTGGTGACTGAAGGTATAGCGGGGAATTTGTTATAAATTGCAATAGTATTATTATTATTATTATTACAAGCGATTTTTCTATTTTTTGATTACGTTTCACGACGTTTATTGTTTCTTACGATTTATATTTTTTCATTTTCTCACGTGATATTTTTCTAACTATGTTTGTAAAATTAAATTCCCTGTTTCCCCCCTTTAAACTTCATACAATTTTCCACACTTCTAACATTTTTTTAAAATCAATTTATCAAGACTTTAATGATAAAAGATGGATAGCGATGAGACAGAGAGAGAGAGGGGGGTGAGGGGATAACTTAAAATTTAACTCGATTAAAATCTTATTGTCGTTAACTAATTAATGCTAATTAAATTTAATTCCCTTCAAAGTACGTTATATCTGCAAAGTTAAAAGCATGGCGATGGTAATTCGAACGTATTTGACACGTAATTAAATAAAACAATAACGTAGAAACTCCCTCCCCTCTTGACTTCCTGTTAAGATTTCGAGAGAGGAAATTTATGAAAGAAAAGAAGGAGTTTTTCCCCCCTTAAAACTTATACGAAAATTAATTTAATTCCCTATCATTTTATACATTTTGTATCGAGATATATGCAGTTATGTAGTTGCGTGAATCAAATTATCGACATTTTAATTCCTCAAGTTGCATATTAATTATGTTACTGTAACAATTTAGCATAATAATTATTCGACAATCCATTAACTGAGGAATTTAATTCGATAATTAAAAAAATGATAATCACTTTGTCTTTTTTTCAATGATGAAAGAAGGAAATTTGAATGAAAATAATATATATTTATATACTATTTTGCCGTCTTGTAATGTTTATGTGGCATCTGGCATTAAAACTTGCAGCTGTAGTGTTTAATAACTGCGATAAATATGAAAAGAAAAAAGAATAATAAAAGGAAAAAATAGTTTATATATACACATAAAATAATAAATAATGTGTATTTTTCACGCGTAGATGCTTAAAGTAGAAAAAAAGTATGATAGAACTGTATATATATATATACAGTATACTCTAGTAAACTTAAAGTACAGGAAAATTATTCATAGATTATATAATACACAACACAGATGTAATAAATAACAAAACGTATATATGAATTACATATACAGTTATATATATATATAATATTTAAGACTTTATATACTTGTACTTTTCATGTATGAGTACTTTAAAAAAAATAAATATCCGTATACAGTCGACTCCCCCTATAACATTGTTAATTATTCCGTTTTATATGAATTCCATGTTGTACGAGTCACTTAGATTTTACAAATACGTGAGCCGTTCACAGCCCGTATTTGTAAAATCTAAATGACTCGTACAACATGGAATTCATATAAAACGCAATAATCAACAGTATTATAGGGGGTTCGACTGTACAAATATTTCCTCGATTAAATCATAGAAGGTTTTATTTTTAAAAGTACAGTACGTATCCCCCATGTTTTTTGTCGAAGTCTCGGGAAGTTTTTCGAGGTCGGTGTTTATTATCTGGCAACAGGATAAAAAACTGAAACAAATACCCTAATTACTTGTACATTTTCATAGCGATTTTCCATTTCGGAAACATTTTCTTGACTACAAATTCGAGTTTTCCTAATTACAATTCGTCCGATAAGCTCTCAACTTATGAACTAGTTCGCCACTTTCCCACGCTCGACATTCGACAATATTTATAATAATATTCTCAGATATGTTCCCGTGAACCTTGGTATAAACTTCTACAGAATTTGAGTTAAATTTCTCACGTATCATACTAAAGTACATTACTCTATACCGTGTAGTATTTCATGTTTCTAGACTGCTCAACCTATATATATATATATATATAAATGCTTAAGCTCTGATAAGAAAGAGGAGAGATTATATATTATTTATCACACAACTTCAACAGAAGGTAGAAAATTTATACTGGATGCAGGGAAGACGAAAAAAACACACTAATTTTTTCCATTTTCTAATTGATCTTTTCTCACATCAAATGACAATATTCTTTAGCGAAACTTTCCAAACTATTCTGAAATTTAAAAAAAAGAAGAAGAAGAAGCTGAAAATTTCCAAGGAACACAAAAAATTGGCTGAACCGAAAAAATGTATGTAAAAAAAAGGGGAAAGAAAAGAAAAAAATTGATGAAAAGACTCCAGTATTTTTTTTTTCTTTCCTCCTTGTTTATTTTTTTTTCTTTCCTCCACTTATTTTCTCCAATTGAAAACATAAATATAAAAATAAACTGTTTCTATTTTTCGCAAATATGTAAACAATTGTTCTTCTTGTAACAAAATATCACGAGACGATAATCAGATATAATTATTCCCTTTTGTTTTTTAGGCAAGGAATTTAATTTAATTTTAATTTCTTTGTAAATATTTCTCTTTCATTTTATTCTTTCTCTTACATTAAATAAAAATATATATATTCTATACTCAAGTAATTAAGTTAATTTAAATGTAGAATATCCACTAACAATGTATAGTTTATGTGCCATAATTTAAATATAATTATGCAAATAATCGATCGTAATTAAATTTTTTTTAAAAAAATAAGTGTATTTTCAGTAAAAAAAATTGCTATTTTTTTTTTGAAGTTTATTATATGTAGTCTTATGTAATAAATATATTAAATTTTTTATAAGATTATAAAACATATTTAAAATTTATTAAAGTATATATTGAACGAATCTCATATTACACTTTTTTATTTTTAAATTTCAAGAAGAAAATTGATAAAAAGAAAAAATTCTATTCATTGATTCAATAGAATTTTTATCGCCTTTATTCTACGATAATCGTGAATTTTTAATAATTTACACGTTATTTATTATAAATATTTTTCCTTTATGACGTGTATAAATATTTAATAATATTCTTTATGAATAATTTGAAGCAAACTTAAAACGAATCGATTCATTGGTGCCTTATTTAGAAGCCAAGCTACGTGGTTCCCTGCAGTGGAAGTGACAGTAAAATCCAATTTTCTGTTATATCCAGTAGGGATATTTTTACTGCGGGTGGTCAGAGAGTTGCGGTAAGGTTTGAAAAGAATATTTACAATGTCAAATGTCATTATACATTCACTCAAAACAGAAAATCCATTAGTTTGAGCAGAGCTCATCCACCATGTAAGTTAACCATAAATCAATCGATACGATAGTAATTTATGGTGTTTTCTATGTAATATTTGCCAAAAATGTTACCATTTATTGAAATTCTTACTTAATTGAGATATCGGAATCAATTTTCTGCAAGATTTCAATTGTTTAATTAGTGTGTTGCCGGTTTCTGAATGAATTTATAGTTAAATAAAAGATTATTCGTAATTAAAATAGAACTTAAATTGTCTGAAACGTTCTCTTTGTAATATTTATCGTTGAAAAGTAATTTGCTTCATGTATTATTACAACAACACTGTTCTTACACGTTATACAAAAGCAGAAACTGTGTGTTTCAATCTGACCTGCAAGAACACAAAATGTTCTTGCAGGTCAGATTGAAAGAATGTGGTTAATTATACTGAAAGTTGTAAATGGTGCCATTAAAAGGTAATAAAACGTGCTAAGAAGTGTTCTTTTCGAGAAATTCTCTTTACTTACACTTTGTTGTACCTATAACTTTTCCATTTCTGTTATGGATTTAAATTACATTGTCGGTTAGTGAATGCTCGTACCATATTATACTAATAATATTTACGTTTTATTCTCTATTAAATAAAGGTTGTTTTTAAAATAAAACACAGAATAATGATCAATAAAAAAAGGTCTCTTTATATACGTGACCGAAAAACCTTTCGTGTACAGATGAACGTATTCATTCATACTACTTTTATTAACGTCATTTAGAAATATTCATTAGTGAAAATAATTGTATTATAAATTATTCATATTTTCTATACTAATTAATACATACAAACGATATAAATTGACAATCAATAGAAGAATAATGCGCTGAATCCAATACTTTTACTTATTAAATTAACATACATCTGTATTGTAAATTATAATTCATAAATATATAACTCCGTGAAGAAAATCATAATTTCAGTTGCATATAAAATGAAATAATCTTGAAATGGTGCACAATCTCACAAGAATGCAATTGGTTCTGGTGTATTTTTTCCATTTATCAAAAATCAATGAAATTAATTACTGAATCCGATAATAGTAATATAAAATTTAAATCTAGCTGAACGTTTTCCACAATAAATTTTAATCATTAATTAAATTTCTAATTAGTTCTGACATTTTCGTATCAAACAATATGAAAATCAACTACAAGTCGACCCCCTATAACACTGTTGATTATTCCGTTTTNCAACAGTATTATAGGGGGTTCGACTGTACAAATATTTCCCCCCCTTATAACACTGTTAATTATTCCGTTTTATATGAATTCCATGTTGTACGAGTCACTTAGATTTTACAAATACGTGAGCCGTTCACAGCCCGTATTTGTAAAATCTAAATGACTCGTACAACATGGAATTCATATAAAACGCAATAATCAACAGTATTATAGGGGGTTCGACTGTACAAATATTTCCTCGATTAAATCATAGAAGGTTTTATTTTTAAAAGTACAGTACGTATCCCCCATGTTTTTTGTCGAAGTCTCGGGAAGTTTTTCGAGGTCGGTGTTTATTATCTGGCAACAGGATAAAAAACTGAAACAAATACCCTAATTACTTGTACATTTTCATAGCGATTTTCCATTTCGGAAACATTTTCTTGACTACAAATTCGAGTTTTCCTAATTACAATTCGTCCGATAAGCTCTCAACTTATGAACTAGTTCGCCACTTTCCCACGCTCGACATTCGACAATATTTATAATAATATTCTCAGATATGTTCCCGTGAACCTTGGTATAAACTTCTACAGAATTTGAGTTAAATTTCTCACGTATCATACTAAAGTACATTACTCTATACCGTGTAGTATTTCATGTTTCTAGACTGCTCAACCTATATATATATATATATATATATAAATGCTTAAGCTCTGATAAGAAAGAGGAGAGATTATATATTATTTATCACACAACTTCAACAGAAGGTAGAAAATTTATACTGGATGCAGGGAAGACGAAAAAAACACACTAATTTTTTCCATTTTCTAATTGATCTTTTCTCACATCAAATGACAATATTCTTTAGCGAAACTTTCCAAACTATTCTGAAATTTAAAAAAAAGAAGAAGAAGAAGCTGAAAATTTCCAAGGAACACAAAAAATTGGCTGAACCGAAAAAATGTATGTAAAAAAAAGGGGAAAGAAAAGAAAAAAATTGATGAAAAGACTCCAGTATTTTTTTTTTCTTTCCTCCTTGTTTATTTTTTTTTCTTTCCTCCACTTATTTTCTCCAATTGAAAACATAAATATAAAAATAAACTGTTTCTATTTTTCGCAAATATGTAAACAATTGTTCTTCTTGTAACAAAATATCACGAGACGATAATCAGATATAATTATTCCCTTTTGTTTTTTAGGCAAGGAATTTAATTTAATTTTAATTTCTTTGTAAATATTTCTCTTTCATTTTATTCTTTCTCTTACATTAAATAAAAATATATATATTCTATACTCAAGTAATTAAGTTAATTTAAATGTAGAATATCCACTAACAATGTATAGTTTATGTGCCATAATTTAAATATAATTATGCAAATAATCGATCGTAATTAAATTTTTTTTAAAAAAATAAGTGTATTTTCAGTAAAAAAAATTGCTATTTTTTTTTTGAAGTTTATTATATGTAGTCTTATGTAATAAATATATTAAATTTTTTATAAGATTATAAAACATATTTAAAATTTATTAAAGTATATATTGAACGAATCTCATATTACACTTTTTTATTTTTAAATTTC